GTCACAATATGTCATTTACCATCTGTCACCAGATATGTAATACACTATCCGTCACATATATGTAAAACACTATCCGTCACCATATATGTAATACACTATCCCTCACCATATATGTAATGCACTATCCGTCACCATATATGTAATACACTATCCCTCACCATATATGTAATGCACTATCCGTCACCATATATGTAATACACTATCCGTCACCATATATGTAAAACACTATCCGTCACCATATATGTAATGCACTATCCGTCACATATATGTAAAACACTATCCGTCACCATATATGTAATGCACTATCCGTCACCATATATGTAATGCACTATCCGTCACCATATATGTAATACACTATCCGTCACCATATATGTAATTCACTATGCGTCACGATCTATGTATTACACTATCCGTCACCATATATGTAATACACTATCCGTCACCATGTATGTAATACGCTATCCGTCACCATATATGTAAAATACACTATCTCCATATATGTTATACACTATCCGTAAGCATATATGTAATACACTATCCGTCAATATATATGTACTACACAATCCATAAGAATATATGTAATACACTATCCATCACCATATATGTAAAAACCACTATCCGTCACCATATATGTAATACATTATCCATCACCATATGTGTTATACACTATCCGTAAGCATATATGTAATACACTATCCTTCACCGTATATGTAATACACTATCCGTAAGCATATATGTAATACACTATCCGTCACCATATATGTAATACACTATCCGTAAGCATATATGTAAAACACTATCCGTCACCTTATATGTAATACACTATCCGTCACCACATATATAATGCACTATAAGTCACCATGTATGCAATACACTATCCGTAAGCATATATGTAATAAACTATCCGTCACCATTTATGTAATACACTATCCGTCACCACATATATAATGCACTATAAGGCACCATGTATGCAATACACTATCCGTCACCATATATGTAATACATTTACCGTCATTATATATGTAAAATACACTAGCCGTCTTCATATAGGTAATACAATATTATTGACCTCACTCTCCATTCACCCATCCATCCATTCACTCAAACACCCACTCACTCAAAAGGTAACCACCCAAACACTCATTCACTCTAAAAACAACCCACCAACCCACTCACTCAATCACTCACTTACCTACCCACTCAATCACTCAATCACTCACTTACTTATCGACTCACTCAACCACTCACTCACCTACCCACTCACTCAATCACTATCTTACCTACCCACTCACTCAATCACTCACTCACCCACCCACTCACTCAATCACTCTCTCACTCACCTACCCACTCACTCAATCACTCACTGACTCACCTTCCCACTGACTCACCTACCCACTCACTCAATCACTCACCCACCAACCCGCTCACGCAATCACTCACCCACCAACCCACTCACTCAATCACTCACCCACCAACCCACTCAATCAATCACTGACCCACCAACCCGCTCACTCAATCAGTCACTCACCTACCCACTCACTTAATCACTCACCCACTGACCCGCTCACTCAATCACTCACCCACCAACCCGCTCACTCAATCACTCACTCACCTACCCACTCACTCAATCACTAACGCACCTTCCCACTCATTCAATCAATCACTCACCCACCAACCCACTCACTCAATCACTCACCTACCAACCCACTCACTCCATCACTCACCCACCAACCCACTCACTCAATCACTCACCCACCAACCCGCTCACTCAATCACCGACCCACCAACCCGCTCTCAATCACTCACTTACCTACCCACTCACTTAATCACTCACCCACTGACCCGCTCACTCAAACACTCACCCACCAATCCGCTCACTCAATCTCTCACTCACCTACCAACTCACTCAATCACTCACCCGAATACCAACTCACTCAATCACTCACTTACCTACCCACTCAATCACTCAATCACTCACTTACTTATCCACTCACTCAATCACTCACTCACCTATCCACTCATTCAATCACTCACTTTCCTACCCACTCACTCAATCACTCACTCACCCACCCACTCACTCAATCACTCTCTCACTCACCTACCCACTCACTCAATCACGCACTCACTCACCTACTCACCCACCAACCCACTCACTCAATCACTCACCCACCAACCCACTCACTCAATCACTCACCCACCAACCCACTCACTCAATCACTCACCCACCAACCCACTCACTCAATCAGTCACTCACCTACCAACTCACTCAATCACTCTCTCACCCACCAACTCACTCAATCACTCTCTCACTCACCTACCCACTCACTCAATCACGCACTCACTCACCTACCCACTGACTCACCTACTCACTCAATCACTCACCCACCAACCCACTCACTCAATCACTCACCCACCAACCCACTCACTCAATCACTCACTCACCCACCCACTCACTCAATCACTCTCTCACTCACCTACCCACTCACTCAATCACGCACTCACTCACCTACCCACTGACTCACCTACTCACTCAATCACTCACCCACCAACCAACTCACTCAATCACTCACACACCAACCCGCTCACTCAATCACTCACTCACCTACCCACTCACTTAATCACTAACCCACTGGCCCGCTCACTCAATCACTCACCCACCAACCCGCTCACTCAATCACTCACTCACCTACCCACTCACTCAATCTCTAACGCACCTACCCACTCATTCAATCAATCAATCACCCACGAACCCACTCACTCAATCACTCACCCACCAACCCACTCACTCAATCACTCACCCACCAACCCGCTCACTCAATCACTCACCCACCAACCCACTCACAAAATCACTCACTCACCAACCCGCTCACTCAATCACTCACTCACCAACCCACTCACTCACTCACTCACCCATCAACCCACTCACTCAATCAGTCACTCACCTACCCACTCACTTAATCACTCACCCACTGAACCGCTCACTCAATCACTCACCCACCAACCCGCTCACTCAATCACTCACCCACCAACCCGCTCACTCAATCACTGACACACCAACCCGCTCACTCAATCACTCACTCACCTACCCACTCACTCAATCACTAACGCACCTACCCACTCATTCAATCAATCACTCACTCACCTTCCCGCTCACTCAATCACTCACTCCTTACCCACTGACTCACCTACCCACTCACTGAATCACTCACCCACCAAACCACTCACTCAATCACTCACCCACCAACCCACTCACTCAATCACTAACCCGACAAACCACTCACTCACTCACTCACCCACCAACCCACTCACTCAATCATTCATCCACCAACCAGCTCACTCAGTCAATCACTCACCTACCCACGCACTTAATCACTCACCCACTGACCCGCACACTCAATCACTCACCCACCAACCCACTCACTCAATCACTAACCCGACAAACCACTCACTCAATCACTCACCCACCAACCCACTCACTCAATCATTCATCCACCAACCAGCTCACTCAATCACTCACCTACCCACGCACTTAATCACTCACCCACTGGCCCGCTCACTCAATCACTCACCCACCAACCCGCTCACTCAATCACTCACTCACCTACCCACTCACTCAATCATTAACGCACCTACCCACTCACTCAATCACTCACGCACCTACCCACTGACTTTCCTACCCACTCAATGAATCACTCACCCACCAACCCACTCACTCAATCACTCACCCACCAACCCACTCACTCAATCACTCACCCACCAACCCGCTCACTCAATCACTCACCCACCAACCCACTCACAAAATCACTCACTCCCCAACCCACTCAGTCAATCACTCACCTACCAACTCACTCAATCACTCACCCGACTACCAACTCACTCAATCAGTCACCCACCAACCCGCTCACTCAATCACTCACTCACCTACCCACTCACACAATCACACACTTACCTACCCACTCGCTCACCCAGATATTCTTGTGTGTGTATATAGGTCAAACGTTTAAACATTTATTTCACAAGACTGGTCTCTATCGTGTTGACTGTTCTTAAACCAGTTCCCCGTGACACGCGACCGTGACACAGACTAACTCCGTCCTATTCACGCTGTTCAAATACCACGGGCAGCTACCCACAACACATAAGGCTGACTTGCGCAAGGTCAGTCCACCTTCTAGTCTCTCACACCGCTTGTGTACTGGCGGCAATGTAGATCACCTCTCAAAGTGTTTGCTCAATTAAACGTCAGGCTCCATTCCGTAGGTCAGCGGGTAATCCTGACATAGATGGCGGAATATAAGAAGCCAACTTGAGCTGGTAACGTCATACGCTGATCCATTCGTTGATCAATTGAGCGCATCGAGCATACGCTGTGCATAAAAATGACATTGCAAAACGAAGGATAAGATGGAGCTGAATTGTGAATTCTGGATTCAAGCACTGGGTCAAGGTCTTCGGACCAGCTCTGTGCGGCGAATAGAGACACTGGAGTATTTGTGTCGCTGACGAAAGCTCGGTAATAGCGCTCTAATATAACCAACATTCGCTATCGTCACTCAGTGTCCGAAAAATGAATAATATATAGTTCATACACAATATATATTGATGTGAGCATTATCTTTTACAGGCTCCACTCACTCACTCACTCACTCACTCAATCACTCAATCACTCACTATCTATAGTATTTGATATTCATTACAACAACGGAGAACTAGCATTCAATTAGTAATGTTGTGAATGAACATTGTGGACAGACATAGCATCCTAGTATGAATAGAGCAATCAATGCATATGAAACCTTGTCCCGTGTGAACTTGACTGCATTCCGCCGTCAATCTCTTATAAGACACACACCGAGATGATGATTCATCACTTCTACTTTGTTCCATGTTTAACTCCGGCGTGTAGGAGACATATACTTCGACATCCCTGTAGCCCAGCGTACATGATACTCCAGACGGTATGTTTACCTTAACGTGTGCTTAAACATCGAAGAGGCCACACTCCAGATACGTAGTTGGTCGGTCTTCGTTCAAATAGATTATACATCACGTCTCCGGGTGGCGTTCGTTTTCTCCAGTGTGCGTGTCTGTGGGCGAGAATATACAGTTAACCATTGGTCGCATATGGTCGTATAAAGCAGATAATATAAGGTAAGTCATTCTCAGGTATTAGGCAGACACCGAACATTATTTCCCACCCCAGCAATTTGTACCAAGCAACCTCCGCGTCGGGCATATAGGCGCACATGCTTGTCTCCTCAACTTATAACACACTCTTGTGTATATGTAGTGTGTGTATTTGTATGTTGTTTGTATGTGTGTATATGTAGTGTGTGTATTTGTATGTTGTTTGTATGTGTGTATATGTAGTGTGTGTATTTGTATGTTGTTTGTATGTGTAAATATGTGTATTTGTATGTTGTTTGTATGTGTGTATATGTAGTGTGTGTATTTGTATGTTGTTTGTATGTGTGTATATGTAGTGTGTGTATTTGTATGTTGTTTGTATGTGTATATGTAGTGTGTGTATTTGTATGTTGTTTGTATGTGTGTATATGTAGTGTGTGTATTTGTATGTTGTTTGTATGTGTAAATATGTGTATTTGTATGTTGTTTGTATGTGTGTATATGTAGTGTGTGTATTTGTATGTTGTTTGTATGTGTATATGTAGTGTGTGTATTTGCATGTTGTTTGTATGTGTGTATATGTAGTGTGTGTATTTGTATGTTGTTTGTATGTGTATATGTAGTGTGTGTATTTGTATGTTGTTTGTATGTGTGTATATGTAGTGTGTGTATTTGTATGTTGTTTGTATGTGTATATGTAGTGTGTGTATTTGTATGTTGTTTGTATGTGTGTATATGTGTGGTATGTGTGTATTTGTATGTTGTTTGTATGTGTATATATGTGTGGTGTGTGTGTATTTGTATGTTGTTTGTATGTGTGTATATGTAGTGTGTGTATTTGTATGTTGTTTGTATGTGTGTATATGTAGTGTGTGTATTTGTATGTGTATATGTAGTGTGTGTATTTGTATGTTGTTTGTATGTGTGTATATGTAGTGTGTGTATTTGTATGTTGTTTGTATGTGTATATGTAGTGTGTGTATTTGTATGTTGTTTGTATGTGTGTATATGTAGTGTGTGTATTTGTATGTTGTTTGTATGTGTAAATATGTGTATTTGTATGTTGTTTGTATGTGTGTATATGTAGTGTGTGTATTTGTATGTTGTTTGTATGTGTGTATATGTAGTGTGTGTATTTGTATGTTGTTTGTATGTGTGTATATGTAGTGTGTGTATTTGTATGTTGTTTGTATGTGTGTATATGTAGTGTGTGTATTTGCATGTTGTTTGTATGTGTATATGTAGTGTGTGTATTTGTATGTTGTTTGTATGTGTATATGTAGTGTGTGTATTTGTATGTTGTTTGTATGTGTGTATATGTAGTGTGTGTATTTGTATGTTGTTTGTATGTGTAAATATGTGTATTTGTATGTTGTTTGTATGTGTGTATATGTAGTGTGTGTATTTGTATGTTGTTTGTATGTGTGTATATGTAGTGTGTGTATTTGTATGTTGTTTGTATGTGTGTATATGTAGTGTGTGTATTTGTATGTTGTTTGTATGTGTGTATATGTAGTGTGTGTATTTGTATGTTGTTTGTATGTGTATATATGTAGTGTGTGTATTTGTATGTTGTTTGTATGTGTATATGTAGTGTGTGTATTTGTATGTTGTTTGTATGTGTGTATGTGTTGTATGTGTGTATTTGTATGTTGTTTGTATGTATATATATGTAGTGTGTGTATTTGTATGTTGTTTGTATGTATATATATGTGTGGTATATGTGTATTTGTATGTTGTTTGTATGTGTGTATATGTAGTGTGTGTATTTAGATGTTGTTTGTATGTGTATATGTGTGATGTGTGTGTATTTGTATGTTGTTTGTATGTGTATATATGTGTGGTATATGTGTATTTGTATGTTGTTTGTATGTGTATATATGTGATGTGTATGTATTTGTATGTTGTTTGTATGTGTATATATGTGTATTTGTATGTTGTTTATAGGTGTATATATGTGTGGTATGTGTGTATGTGTATGTTGTTTGTATGTGTATATGTGTGATGTGTGTGTATTTGTATGTTGTTTGTATAGGTATATATATGTGGTATGTGTGTATTTGTATGTTGTTTGTATGTGTATATGTGTGATGTGTGTGTATTTGTATGTTGTTTGTATGTGTATATGTGTGATGTGTGTGTATTTGTATGTTGTTTGTATGTGTAAATATGTATATTTGTATGTTGTTTGCATGTGTGTAAATGTGGTGTGTGTGCATTTGTATGTTGTTTGTATGTGTGTATATGTAGTGTGTGTATTTGTATGTTGTTTGTATGTGTGTATATGTAGTGTGTGTATTTGTATGTTGTTTGTATGTGTGTATATGTAGTGTGTGTATTTGTATGTTGTTTGTATGTGTGTATGTGTTGTATGTGTGTATTTGTATGTTGTTTGTATGTATATATATGTAGTGTGTGTATTTTTATGTTGTTTGTATGTGTATATGTAGTGTGTGTATTTGTATGTTGTTTGTATGTGTATATATGTAGTGTGTGTATTTGTATGTTGTTGGTATGTGTATATGTGTGATGTGTGTGTATTTGTATGTTGTTTGTATGTGTATATATATGTGGTATGTGTGTATTTGTATGTTGTTTGTATGTGTATATGTGTGATGTGTGTGTATTTGTATGTTGTTTGTATGTGTATATATGTGTATTTGTATGTTGTTTGTATGTGTATATATATGTGGTATGTGTGTATTTGTATGGTGTTTGTATATGTATATGTGTGATGTGTGTGTATTTGTATGTTGTTTGTATGTGTATATATATGTGGTATGTGTGTATTTATATGTTGTTTGTGTGTGTATATGTGTGATGTGTGTGTATTTGTATTTTGTTTGTATGTGTATATGTGTGATGTGTGTGTAGTTGTATGTTGTTTGTATGTGTAAATATGTGTATTTGTATGTTGTTTGTATGTGTGTAAATGTGGTGTGTGTGTGCATTTGTATGTTGTTTGTATGTGTGTATATATAGTGTGTGTATTTGTATGTTGTTTGCATGTGTATATGTGTGATGTGTGGGTATTTGTATGTTGTTTGTATGTGTATATATGTGTGGTATGTGTGTATTTGCATGTTGTTTGTATGCGTGTATATGTGGTATGTGTGTATTTGCATTTTGTTTGTATGTGTATATGTGTGATGTGTGTGTATTTGTATGTTGTTTGTATGTGTATATATGTGTATTTGTATGTTGTTTGTATGTGTGTATATGTAGTGTGTGTATTTGTATGTTGTTTGTATGTGTGTATATGTGGTGTGTGTGTATCTGTATGTTGTTTGTATGTGCCGCACTCACTGTGAATCTCATCATGAGCTTCGATCAACGCAATTTGGATACGATGACATGTATCAACCATGTCAACGATCCTGACCACCCGATCCCGTTATAAAGTCGCCCCAGGGTTGCTGAAAAAACAGTTATTACCGAGGTCTTCACAGTTTCCAAAATCTGTAATCTTCACATTCCTCCACGTGTTTATAGATACTATTTAATACTATTATCCTTACCGTCCTTGTTTCAGAAATCCTGACTCCCCTGTGTCGGTGACCGTCACCTGACTGACCTATGACAACGCCAACATAAACTACCTGAATCAAGATGTTGGCAGTGAACTAACAACGGGACAGGACGTCATGAAGAAGTACATTCGTCATCACTTACCTCCCTTTATCCCCGGCTAAACTGTCCAACGTAAGTTGTTCAATATCTTCTAAATTCTGTTTTCATTTTATCTTTCCTACCTGGATGCCAATTGCTCAAAAGCGTATTTGAAAGATTATAATTAATCTGTGTCAATTTTTATCACATCCATATGATATATATTATTATTTGTATTAAATGTATTTCAGAAGACAAAGAACATGTACCCTTGCTCTCCCAATATCAAGATTCACGATCTCCATGTTTTTCCTCTAATATTAATGCATCACATAAGATCCATTTATTGATCACATAATAGATCAATACTTATGGTTGTTAAATTTGTGTATAATATGTTCAAGATCTATGGAAATATAGAACGATGAGTTATAACCAACGCATATGTGGACATTATATTATAGACCCGGGAGGATCCGGCATAGAACAGGTCTCCAGCAACCAACGCGTGCCGTAAGAGGCGACTATGCTTGTCGTAAGAGGCGACTAAGGGGATCGGGTGTCAGGCACGTTGACTTGGTTGATGCATGTAATCGTATCCTGATTGTGTGGATCGATGCTCATGATGTCAATCACTGGATTGTCTCGTCCAGACTCGATTACTTACAGACCGCCATCATATAGCTGGAATATTGCTGAGTGCGGCGTTAAACAACAAACAAACATTTCTGCGTAGCATTTTAAACCTTTGGATAAGAGTATGTTAGTGAACATGTTGATGTTTTTCTTCAGACACAACCACAGCGCCCGTGTTCTACTGTTCGAGTGGCAATGCAAGGGGTCTGCCGCAGAGCCTTCTTATGCTAGCAGTTGTCTGGCTTTCTCTTGTCATCAGACAAGTTTATCTTCAATCCTGAAGACACGACACACGTAACTCACGTCAAATCAATTTTTTTGTGCATGACTTGTCAATATACTGGCCATTATTAACTTTAAGTAATAAACTGTTAAGAAATAGTTAGTGCATAATTTAACATGGTGTATTTTACTGCGACATTTAAAGGTGAATGCGTATTGTCACGTTGGTGCAATGTAACCCGTTATTTTAGAACTGACTTTCACTTTGTGTGAGTTCCTTTTTTATCACATTTTTTTACCTCAAAAGATGTTGGCCTAGATCTCTACATAGATGTATTAATAACGCTTGGCTTCGTGTTTACACTGACAGCCAAGCATCAACCAAGCAACAACCCGCGGGATAGAATAGTTCTTCCAAAAGAGCGTTGAAATGAGTATTCGAATAATACCACCATTGAATGAGAAAGGTCGGCGTCACAATGACAGCGCGTCGTAATACATTTACATGAATTACAAGACGACACAATGTGTCTGTCAGCCTAGACACGAGTCGAGTAGATATTACGATAGTTTGGAGCTGAATTTCTTCGTTTTGTTCCCAAGGATGGGTCGTAGCGGGGATAGTCGTAAACGTTGATGCTGTCAAAGTCAATGTTTACTATAGCCCTGAACACGGTCTCGTGAAAACAACTTCATACGAACGTCGGGGCGGTCGGGTAGCCTAGTGGTTAAAGCGTTCGCTCGTCACGCAGAAGACCCGGGTTCGATTCCCGACATGGGTACAATGTGTGAAGCCCATTTCTGGTGTCCCCCGCCGTGATATTGCTGGAATATTGCTTAAAGCGACGTAAAACCATACTTACTCACTCACTCACTCACTCACTCACTCATACGAACGTCAGTTTCGAGGTCATGCGGAAAAGCAGTTTATCGTGAAAACTTCAAATAAAAAAAAGTATAACATTTGATAACGGTTGTTTGCTTGGTAAAGATACTGTTATCTGTACCGAAACGTTATAGCCCACACTTCGAGTGAGTGAGTGAGTGGGTGAGTGAGCCTCCGTCTCTATAAAACATTTTTACTTACATTAACCTAAAGTATTTTGTCGATGTTGATTCGTCTTATAAATAAAAAATATCACATTTTCTAAAGTTTTAATTTGATTTATAATTCCACACGGTATCTTTCACAATATGCAATGTCGCAATGCTGGACCTGTTCGGTACATTGTACGGGGGTGACTACAGCATTTCTTAGCAGGAGATTGAAATTGAGAATATACAAATAGTGGAGACACGGTGCATAATACCACGCGTAGAGTGGATTGCACTGGTTGAATTGTGCAAAGCCTAGGTATTGAAACGTGCATAAAGGCCCCGGTATGTTGTGTTAAATAGAACGGAATAACATGTAGACAGTGTGGAGTGCACTTTCCATACGATATTGTACAGTGGAACAGTTTCATTTACACGTGACGATCCAGGTTAGAATAGTTCTTCAGCCACCCATGCTTGCCGTAAGAGGCAAATAACGGGATTGGGTGCCAGTTTCAAATTTCATGGAAACTACACGGACTATTTTGGAAGAAAAGTTCCTTCCCAACGTGTTTTTTTTCATACTCCCGCATTCGCTCCCGTGTCTCTTCATCGCTCATTTTTTGCTTAATCCCTTAAAAAAGGAATGCATGTTGCGCCATTGAGATGTGTCTGAACTGAACTTTCTCTCAGACAGCTATCAGCGGCATCAGAGGTACAAAATGTATTCAACAACATTACACATCTTCATATAATTATAGAATAGATACACAAACATCAGACTCAGGTCAGAGTTAAATTGCAAAAATAGACGCGAAAACATTTATTTTTCCAGCAATATTTAACATGTGCATTTGTTAACTCTTTCAACACCACTCAGCTAACGCATTCATAAAGTCCTGATTAAGCACCAAGGAAGCGACAATTGTGTCGCATTTTCGACAATTGTCATTAATTAGATATCAAGTAACTTGTTTCTTTTTATATATCCATCGTTTAAGTAATCGGAAAACGATGATAAATAGAATTTCCAATGTACATGTTGTCTATTGTCACATATCCCGAAAGCGGCTTTCCATTCAGTAACATGAGAAAATACTGGGCGATACCTCCATTTTCGAAGCTTTGTATGAGGTGAGGTGAAATGGGGTTTAACGTCGCGTCCAAGATTATTGCACTTATATAGTGACGTGCATGTACGTGTGTGTGTTTGTGTGGCTGCTTGTACTACTCCGGACTGATGCCGATTTATAGTGCTAGCTCACTTAGATACTTGGCCGCAGTTTAACATGAATACCCCGCTCAGACACGGTATGCAGACCAGTCCTTGTTTAAGCCCCTTACTGCCGAGCGCCAGACAGGGTAACAACAAGTACCATCTGTTAACGTCTGTTGGAACCCATGTGGATTTTATTTTTTACTTCATATTTAACGATTTGCTTGTCACGTCTTTATATTGCTCATTGACTTGTTTGGGGACTCTTTGCGTGTTGGTCAGCGTCCAGCGGCTTTGAAAGAGTTAAGTATCACAGTTTGTGGTTATTTTAACTACCAATTACAACCAATCACAACAAGTTTGTTGTTCAGTGTTACCGTCACTCAAACAAGAGTGAGTGAGTTGGGTTTAACGCCGCTTTTAACAGTATTCCAGTTATATCATGGCATGTCAGCTTAATATGGGAGGAAAGCCCGAAGTGGTGCAGGTCTCAGACGTTTAACGTTTCGGTGAAACCCACGAGCACGGGTATGTTGCTGATAAATTTTAGAAACATAATCGGGGCGAACCGGGATTCGAACCCAATCATAGGTTTCTGGCCTGCCCAAGGGACGCAACTCTGCACAGCGAATCGCGGCGCCTTAGACGACTGGGCCACCCGTGCCCCCTCAAACAAGATGAAGGGGGTACCTTTTACCTCTCAACCTAAATTCCTCACAAATATTCAGTTGACTTTTTTACTTTTGATTGTGGTATTGATCTATAGAAAAGGGAGAACCTTATATTATATTTTGATTAACAAAGAGGACTGCATAAAAAATCACCGTTAAAACTTCAGTAGCCAGTCGGTACATTTCAGAATCGTTAGCCCGACCGAAATTTTACGAACCACGGGCTAGCGGTCTATATGTCGCACACGTATCTGATCTAGGACCAAAACTAGTTTGTGTAATGTAAACTGTATGTGACAACTTCCACACATGTAGGCCCCTGGCTGCTCCACAGTGGAACATGAATAGATGGGTGGCCTAGCTTGGCAAACCTTGAGTATATGTCAACAGCAAGTGACGGTACGTAAAGTTCTGTCCGCGAGTCACGTGTCGAGTTCAATGAAACTCAATTCAGCTCGATCCACATGCATAGATCTATGTCAATCTTAACACTGAACGGATGTGTCGCCATAACAGTATTTGATAGCAGATTTCGCACTGATTAGTAAATCATCAAGGTAAGTTTATTACTTTTTATGTTCAACAGTTCTTATTACACACCCTTTGTATTCGCGTTGTACAAACAAGGAATATGTTAAAATGTGGACTGAATTTATTTACAGAACAGAGTTTTTTTTACTTTTAACTTATTTTGTTTTAACAAAAGAATTGTGTTTTTATTTGTATTTTGATTTTATCATTTACAGATCAGATTTTACTCTGAGGTGTAGTACTAAAACTTGTTAACTCGTGACCATTGAGGTTTAATATATATTTATGAGTTTGCTATATTATTTATACAAGAGTTAGGCAATCCCTTTCATATTAGGCAAGGTACAGTGTACCGATTTTACCGTGACCTACTTAATATGAAAAGGTTCCGCGTTTCCTTGGAGGTGAGCGGCACAAATACTCAAACCCAACAAAGAGTTTAGTTAACCCAGGACGACCATGCGCTCAAGACAGATTTCATTTGAAGACACACATATGTGCCTCTGTTGCCCAAGTGGTAGAGAAGGAGGTGTGTCTGTTGGATAGCAGGTGAGTGTGGTATGTGCCATCAAAATTGATTAGGATTGATCGAATACCAGAATAGACCCGATTTCATTAGATCCTTTGTTTGACACTATCAACTCCATGATTGCGCGTGCGTCCAGTTCTAAGATCTACATCCTATAAGAACTACAGCATAAAACTATAAACGTTATGGTATAGTGGTCAGGACGATAGGTGTTAATTACATTTATGTTAATGGACTGGCCAGCTTTTTACTGCCATAGGAACAACATGATACTTGATGTCTCATTATGCACTTTATTCACCTTCCTACATACATAACATAACACTCATGAATATAATTTTACGAAGTCAAAGTCAGCCATCTATTTGAGCGCCTTCGGGATTTATAACATGGTGCCCCGATTGTGATTTCAGTGAGGGGCACGCGTGGCCCAGTCGTCTTAGGCGCTGGGATTCGCTGTGCATAGTTGCGTCCCTTGGGCACGCCAGAAACCTATGATTGTGGGTTCGAAACCCGGTTCGCCCCAATTAAGTTTCTAGGTTTGTCAGCACCATACCCGTGTTCGTGGGTTTCAACGAAGTGGTAAACGTCTGACACCCTCATCACTTCGGGTTTTCCTCCCACAATAAGCTGACACGCCGAGATATAACTGGAATGCTGTTAAAAGCGGCGTTAAACCCAACTCACTCACTCACTAACTCATTGATCCCCTCACTGCGCGTCATCTCAGGAGTCGCTTCCATGGCTTCTATCCATGTGTCCTGCACCAGGTTATTTGTTCTTGGTCCAGTTATCAGGTAGTCGTTCCATAGACTGATAGGGAACAAAGCACCATAATCAACCCATGCTGCCATAACATAGTCATTGATCTCCTCGGGGGTACGGGTGGCCCAGTCGTCTAAAGCGCCGCGATTCGCTGTGCAGTTACGTCCCTTAGGAACGCCAGAAACCTATGATTGTGGGTTCGAATCCCGGTTCGCCCCGATTATGTTTCTAGGTTTGTCAGCACCATACCTGTGCCCGTGGGTTTCACCGAAATGGTAAACGTTTGAGACCTGCATCACTTCGGGCTTTCCTCCCACATTAAGCTGACCTGCCGTGATATAACCGGAATACTGTTAAAAGCGGCGTTAAACCCAACTCACTCACTCACTAACTCATTGATCCCCTCACTGCGCGTCATCTCAGGAGTCGCTTCCATGGCTTCTATCCATGTGTCCTGCACAAGGTTGACAAGGTGGAGAGGAAGTCCAGCTGCTCTCCGAATCCATTTTTCGACCTCAGGCTCTTCTGTGTATAATACTGCCAGACCAAGTGTTTGTGTCTGACCCCAGATAGGGCCGTGAAGATCCGGGCCGGTGGAATAGGTCTTCAGCAACACATGCTTGCCGTGTAAGGCGACTATGCTTGTCGTAAGAGGCGACTAACAAGACCGGGTGGTCAGGCTCGCTGACTTGATTGATGCATGTCATCGATCCCAATTGCGTGGATCGATGCTGATCTTGTCAATCACTGGATTGTCTGCTCCAGACTCGATTATTTACAGACCGCCATCATATGGCTGGAATAGTGCTGAGTGCGGCGTTAAACAACAAACAAACTGTCTCCAGATGGTTTGTGCAAAGTGGAACAAGCACCCTTTCACCTCTGCATCAGGGAATTCAGGGTTGGCTGCTTGAATGGCTGGAGCTTCAAAATCAGTCTGGATTATGGCAGGAAGGAGAGCACAATACAGGAGGCCTTGATCACAGTTAGTAAGTTTGCTGAAGAAGCGGCGGTCGGTTACTCCTTGAAGGTCTGGGAGTAGGCCGAACACCAGAGGGTACATGGTTTTACCCTCCCTGACATGCAATAGTTGACTCCAAATAGGCTATAAGGATAAGCTGATGTCACATCCGTATAAATCGCCTGAGCAGACAGAAGGGATGTCAGTTTCAGTTTTCATCGCCAGCAGTGAAGAGCAGGTATCTGTGTCCACCTTTGGTCTGGGTAAAGGGTTCTTCTATCTGAACGTCAGCTCGTGTCTGGAAGTGGTGGGACACTTGCTCGTCTGTGTCTGTACATGCCGCTTGAAATGATGGTAGGTGCTGGACTCTATCGTGTGGTAGTCGCAATGTCTCGTCATTGCAGATGCCTTGTGCAGGTCCAGTGTCCTCTCTGGTCCTTCCTCTTAGGTACAGTAAACTGATAAATCGTACAGTGTCTGCATCACTAAATATCCTAAAGACTTATGTGTGGAGAAAATGGATGATGCATTTAATAGGTTTGTTGATAAATTAAATGAAGCCCTCTGTGAACACGACAGTAAACAGTTCTGTTCCATGCATTTTGTGTACACCAGACCAGTAAACAAACTCAATCACACCCATGGACTTGATATGTCACTTTGAGACTCTATTTGGAGGCATGGGTGATGTTGATGACGATATTGATTTCTATTCAACTATCGACGACTTTGTAAATTATCAGTATCCGATGAACTTATTAATAATTCGGTTAATGAATAATATTGATAAAAGAAAAATCATTGTTTTCAGAAATGGTGGACCATTACGGTGTTATGAAAAATTTGGCTTTAACACAAATTATCTTGAGATAGTATCTTGCTATAAATATCTGGGTGTTCATTTTTCTTCATCTGCCTCAAGGTATCCAAATATTGCAATGGAAATCTTATCTGTTTCAAAAACTATAAGTATACAGCTTCATATCTTTGATATCAAAATCATGTCAATTTTATTATTTGGATCTGAGGTATTGGGCTTCCACCCATCCCAAGATGTTGATATAATTCTTGACAGGTTAATTACGGAATAAACAACATCAACATCAACAACTAAGGTGTGACAGTGACCCTCTGCACAGCTTAATGACACATTTCCAGCACACAGCTTCTCCCCTAACTACTTTCTTCCAGTAACCGTAACGATCAAGACGAACTTGTGATTCCCCTTCTTAGACAAGACAAATTCAAGTGTTCTCAGCCCAGCCACAGAATGAACTATTTTGAACTAAAGTCTGAAGTCTTATATACAGTTTGTAATTGAAATAACCAAAACTGATAAACGAATAACGCGTCAGCGTTGATATCAGGGCCTCACATATGAGAGATATGATAATGGCTTCTTCGGCTCGTTGGGGTCATATAAAGTAATGCTCCGTCGTACCTAATCGCATCGATTCATCCATGTAAGGGATTCAGCTCAAAGCAGCAATGAAAAATCCCTGGCGATTCTGGGTTATAATTTGCCCTCAGCACCTCATGCTTTCGTAAGATGGGACTGAATGCATTAGGTGGTCAGGTTCGGTGAACTGCTTGAAGGCGTGACATCGTACCCCGTCGACGTGGATCGTTGCTCACAATATGAATCTTTAGATTGTCTGGTCCATACTCAATTATTTATAGGCCGCCGTCATGCAGTTGCGGCGTTAACAAACATAGAGTAATTTAATTACATCCGATGTCATCATATAAACTTACCAGCGACTCGTGAGTATACGTTCTGGAATTTAACCCTCCCGAGATATAAGGTGAGGTGACATGCGTGCGTGTGTGTGCATTACAGAGTTGTACAATTATACAGATATCGCGGATGGGGTGAGGTAAAATTGGGTTAAGCGTCACGTTCAAAATTATTTTACTCATATGGCGACGTGCAGGCTTGTACTAGTCGTGACTAGTGCCGGTTTTATCGTTCTAGCCCACTGGTTTTAGCCGATCACTCCTTGTTCTATCCCCTTAATACTGAGCTCCAGGCAGGGAAACAACAAGTACCATCATTTGATGTCTTCAGGTATGAAACAGAGTGGGATCAATCCGCCGACCTTCCACTCTTGGGGCAAACGCTCTATCCACAAGACAAGGCGAAATATGAATGACATTGATGACATAAATATTCATTACAGTTCAGTGAATATGATACTTTACATCTTTTTCAGATAAACCATGACGTCATTACTCATCTGCGGCCTGGTTGCTGTTATCGTCAGTACCGGAAACAGCGCCTCGGGACAGGAAGTTGACACTACCCATGGCAAAATCATCGGTCTGCGAACTTCTGTCCTCAGTAAACCTATCGACACCTATTATGGCATCCCTTTCGCCAAACCACCTATTGGAGACCTCAGGTTTAAACACCCACAACCCATGGACCCCTGGCGACCGGAGGTCAAGGACGCCCGTGCACAGAAACCGTCATGCCAACAAGCGATACAGTTTTCATTGGGGATGGCCTGGAGAGCGATTCCTCCCAGCGTTAGCGAGGATTGTCTGTACATCAATGTATGGGCACCAGCTAATGTAACAGCAAATGCGAAACTCGCAACCATGGTATGGGTCTATGGCGGTTCATTTACATCCGGATCTATCAACATGCCTTTGTACAGCGGGAAGTATCTTGCTGCTGAAAAAAACGTCATCGTGATGTCTATGAACTATCGTTTAGGAGCTCATGGATTTTTATATCTTGGCCCTGACACGTTTCCTGGAAACCAAGGTCTCATGGACCAGACACTTGCCCTACAGTGGATCCATAACAATGTTGAAAGATTCGGCGGAGATGCAAACATGATCACCTTATTTGGAGAAAGCGCTGGAGCAGGATCAGTTGGTCACCTTTTGTTATCCCCCAAATCGCGTGACCTCTTCACCCGTGCTATTTTACAAAGTGGATCCCCCTTACCAGCATGGGCAGTGCAGGAACCTTCGATGGCTATTGGCAGCACTAGAAGACTCGCGGAGATGTCGAACTGTTCTGCCAGATACGATGCTGATATTTACCAATGTATCAAAGACCTACCTCCGGGAACGATTGTAGATAACCAGGCTCGGGTTTTTGCTGTGGGTGGAGTACCATTCGGTCCAGTCGTCGATGGCTTCTTCTTGCCAGATACTCCAATAGCTCTCTTAGAAAAAGGGGAGATGAAGAAAACTGAAATCCTAATGGGAGTTAACAAGAATGAAGGCACCCTGTTCCTTCCATCTACTATGCCAACGGTATTTACTCTCTCGAATCAGATAAATGTTACTAGAACACAATTCCTATTAGCGGTGAGAATGTTCGCTGCAACAAATGGTCAATCATCAACTATGGTCAAGGCCATTATGGCCCAGTATGACGAAGTCCAAGTACCTTCTCTCCGGAAAGACTACTTGGAAACTGTGGACAACATTCTTGGGGACAGTTTCTTCAAGTGTCCATCTGTCAAACTAGCGGACTTCTATGCTGTAGAAAACGATGTGTACTTCTATTCCTTTGACCACCGGATTTCCGCTTTTACTCTACCACTATGGATGGGAGTTCCACATTCGGCTGAGATGGAAATGATGTTTGGACAACCGCTTGGGGATGCCTTCGCAGCGCCGGAGGAGGAAAAATTAACAAGCCGGAGCATGATGACGTATTGGGCGAATTTTGCTAAAACTGGGCAAGTACTTTATAATGTAGAGAGGAATTCAAACGATTGAAAGGGACAATGTGGATTTTGAAATGATTTGATTTGTCTGTAATTTTTTTAATTTAATTTTTAAAAACTGTAATAATGCATGATGCGATTTGTAAAACGTTTCTGAATTCAGGTGTGAAGAGTGTGTCACACAATAGCGTGTTGGATGAGAGCGAGTGAGTGAGTATGGGTTTGCGCCGCTTTTAGCGTTATTCCAGCAATATCACGGCGGGGGATACCAGAAATGGGTTTCTCACATTGAACAAATGTTTGGAATCGAACCCGAGTCTTCGGAGTGACTGCTGCTTTAACCAGAAGGTTACCCCACCGCCCGTTTTGAGCTATAATTAAGTCGATCAAATTATACAAAACCGCTGGGTCTCTTCAAGTACCTGTCAGCTGAATCTGAATTATTATTATTATTATTATTATTATTATTATTATTATTATTATTATTATTATAAAAGTGCAGCAAAGAGGGTTTGGGTGATCCTGGCACAGTCAGGCTGGTTGGGCTCATCATCAGCTCAGGGCCCTTTCCCCCTCTACACGCAGCCCAGACAGCGAATGTGACTTCTCCCAGGAAGCGCTGCCTAGTCAAACCCACCCAGAGCCTTTACTATTACGAGCAATAGTACTACTACTACTGAATTGGACGCAACAAAGAGAACTTCAGTGCTATTTTACCAGTTAAATGATTACTCTTGCGAGTGTGTAACAAAAGCAATTATATTTTAATATTTCATTTTATTTCAGAAAAAAATAATATCTTTGTCAATGTTTTGGCAATGGATATATTGTTGTATTTGTATTTGAAAAAAATTCTCTTGTAGAAGGTAAAATTTGGACTAACAAGTATTGAGAAACAACACTATTAACGTCTGGTGTGATCATATTTGGCAGCAACCCAAACCTACCGGAAACACCCAACTTCCAATGGCCTAGATACAGCACGACTGATGAAACCTTCCTTGTCTTCACGGCTGCCGGACAGTCAACCAATCAGGGCTTGAGGAAGCAGCAGTGCGTTTTCTGGGACACTCTCATGCCACTGATCACCGAGAACGACGATACGCGTACAGGCTCTGAAAGTAAGTCAGCCATAGCTTGCTTGCGTGCGTGCGTGCGTGCGTGCGTGCATGCGTAAGTCAGTGAGTGAGTCAATGAGTTAGTGAGTGAGTCCAGTATTAAAAGCTCATTCACTCACTACTTGTGGCCAACCTCTGTAACACTTCTGCGAGATTTCATGCTTCAAAATTATACTCATTTACAAATAACTTTTGAGAGTGTGACGTACATGGAAACTATTGGCGTCTGTGTATTCATCCTGGTGTTCAACGTGTGTGCGGTTATATGTGCTGACATCGACTCAAGTAGGGAAACAAACGATGCGATCATGTGTAAAGACATTCAAACTCCTGACTGACAGGAATATACACCTTACTGACACGAGTATACTCCTTACTGACACGAATATACTACTTACTGTCCAGAACATACTCCTTACGGACTGGAATGTACTCCTTACTGACCGGAATATACTCCTTACTGTCCAGAACATACTCCTTACGGATTGGAATGTACTCCTTACTGACCGGAATATACTCCTTACTGTCCAGAATACACTCCTTACTGTCCAGAATACACTCCTTACTGTCCAGAATACACTCCTTACTGCTCAGAACATACCCCTTACGGACTGGAATATATTTCTTACCGACCGGAATATATTCCTTACTGACCAGAATACACTCATTTGTGACACGAGTATACTGACCAGAATACACTCATTTGTGACACGAGTATACTGACAAGAATATACTCCTTACTGACAAGAATTTACCCCTTACTGACAAGAATATGCCCCTTACTGACAAGAATATACTCCTCATGGACACACTTCCCTCCTTCCTGACATGAATATAAATACACTTCTTACCCTGGCCTCGACGTACCAAAAGACGTTACAAGATGGTACTTGGTGTTTCCCTGCCTGGTACTCGGCATTAAGGGTATTAAATAAGGCCTGGTCAGCACAGAGCCACGATGTGTTGGAAAAAGCACGTCAGATGTTTTTTTTATGAACTTTAAAACCCGAATTCAACGGTTTCCCCGAGGATGAGGGTTTTAAACCTCTTTAAATACCCGAAGGTAGTTGTGTTTTATGTAACTCATAAACCGATAAAAGAAACTTAAAGCAACATTTATCAACATTTTTATGTTTCAAACATAATTTCCTAAACCTTAGGAAACGGGGGTCAAATCATCACTACATCGGGGTGTAACAGCGTCCGTACCAATACCTCAACGTCAACCGCCATGCTTTCTACGCTAGGTCAAAAGGTGTTGTGTATGAGATTACGTCACAACACATAACATGTGATTCTTCTGTTTCAGCGACGACAGAGAAAGTTGTGTACGTGTGTCAAAACGATGGAAGCAGAATGCCGCTTTCATTGGGATTGTTTTGGGGCGTGGCACTTGCAACTCTATTTAGTATTTAAACATAAATACCCACGTCAAGTCGACTCCTTATCCTACCTTAAACAATCAACATCGAATAATTTCATGCTAAAGTTCATTGTTTTCTGAAGAAATGACACGGCAACTGCGTTACATAATGAAAAGGCCGACTTACTTGTCTACTTTCATTACTGTTTCTAACAATGGTAAGATGGAAATTATTTGAGAATAATAAAGAAATATATACTGATCACTTCAATGCTCGTTTTGACTCCTTGTCTTTGTGTGATCAGGGACACCGTGTCGCAATGACATGCCAGAAACCATTGATCATAGGTTCGAATCTCAGATCCGCCCTGATTATATTTTAAGGTTTGTCAGCACCATACCCGTGCTCGTTGGTTTCACCTACGTGGTAAGCGTCTAAAAACGTCCTCACTTAGGGTTTTCCTAAAGCCTACATATACGACTGGTATAGGCGGCGATAAAACACTCACTCACCCACCGACTCGCTCACTGAGGTCTACACACAACCCAGCCTCTTGTCTCGTCAGTCAACACTAACTCACTCTTCCCGTGACTGACATACGAATATTCAATGTACTGATTCCAAGGCGCATACCGAACAATGCATTAAACCCTGAGTATTCCCGATAGCCTGTATGTTTCAAGTACCCCATGCGTGTTTCGTTCAGTGTAGAATAGGTGTCCAATACTCAATGATTGAGTCCTGGGTCCACATGCACAAACCGATTTCAGCACTATGGTGATCTTAACTCCCATTCATTAACGTAGGCGTACGATTGTCGTAGAGCTAAGATCAGTTTGTGCAAGTGGGTCCTGGGCCTGGCGACCGCCTCCGTGGTCTAATGGTCTAGCGTCCGCCCGGAGAGCGGAAGGTCCGGGGTTCCATCCCCAGCCGCGTCATACCAAAAGACGTTAAAAGATGGTACTTGTTGCTACCCTGTCTGGCACTCGGCAGGGGGCTAAAACAAGGACTGGTCGGCTCGGAGTCAGTATACTGTGTCTGAGTGGGGTATTCATGTTAAACTACGGCATGGTATCTCAGTGTGCTAGCACTATATCTCGGCATCAGTCCGGACTAGTACAAGCAGCCACACACACACACACATACACGTGCATGCACGTCGCTATATAAGTGCAATAATCTTGGACGCGACGTTAAACCCCATTCACCTCACCTCACCTGGGCCTTGGTCCGAAAAGGGTTTCTTAGCGCTACGAATCTCATTAATTTATCACAGAGTTTTGTCAAACCTTATATAGTAGAAACATCATACTGACACAGTCCCTACGACTTCCTATTTCATTCATTTGTGAGTGGCGGGTGCTACCTGTAGAGCAGGACATGATTACCCTTTTCACGAACACCTGGTGTAATCACTGATTTCCAGTGATCCATTCATACAATTTTCACCACTGTTTTGCCCTTTACCCCCAGTGGAATCTGTTTCGGCAGATAAGCGAGACTGATTATTCCCCAGCGTTAACAATTCCTATTAATGAATTTATGAGAGACGGTAATGTACAACAACAAAAAAGGTAAAAATGTTCTCAGGATATGACATATTTCGGTAACGTTGGAAAACAGAAAGCACATCTGTTGGCAAGATTTTATTGCATTGGAAAATCGATAACTAAATGTGTCCAGGTCAGATAAAAGCACATGCGTGGAAATTAACAGAAAGTCATTATACACGTATTCCCCAAACATGCGTTGAATAAATAAAATAATAACACAAACGTCATTGGTCACAGAAGAATACCATTCAAGGTATTTATACCTTAGGTATTTCCTAAGAGGAACTACACACGAGAGTTTCCCAAGAGGGATCTGACATTATCTGGCGTCCCAATTGGTTGGGATAATGACGTGGGGGTACGGTCTAACCCTGTCCCTGGAGGCATGAAGGGGAGCCGTGAACAGCAGGGCAGGTACTGATACAGTCGACCTTGCCAGAACCATCCATACGTATTGTCTGATGACGACTCCATGGGCTTCTGTGTGATGCTGGTGTTGGTGGCGTCAGTCCCCAGACGATTCTGCCAAGCGTCAATACCTCGGTCTTTCCTTGATCCTGTAAAAGGTGTAATTGTAAAAGGGGTTTTATATTAACGTCTTTATTCTCAAAAGGAATCACACAGAGAACATGGAGCAAATACATTCACGAGGCCACCTTCGCGTATGCTTGTAACGCCTCACTAAGTTCATCTTGTGGGAGTAGTCCAGAAAACACGGAAAAGTTTCCATCAAGTCACTTAGCCAAACAAGTATTTTGGGACGACAACACCTTTTTTTTCAGAACATCTTACATGTCCCATTTTTTTGTAAATAACATCAGTACAAATTACTTTTCAAAAAGAAAAATTAGGAAACGTGTTATTTTTTCACAAATATTGAGGAAAAATAATAAAGATATTCTGGGTGAAAACATGTATATTTCTTACATATTTCATATGCATGTCACAGAATATGTCCCCTTTCAGAGGCGTTGTGTAGTAATCAGCAGTCCTCGATTGGTGAGAAAGTTTACCTTTTGTGGTGTTATCCAGGAAGATGGCGATGAGGCCACCAAGAAGCATTGGACTTCCGAGAATAATTTGCAGAATTTTATCAAGGTCCTTGACCCCTGAAAGAGAATCATATCACATCGGGCCACACTATTGTCTGTCAGATACCATCTATCTTGCAGCTGTCTAGTGAGCAAAAGATTCGTTTTACAATAACGAGCTGAAAGATAAATTGTATATGACAGGAACAAATGCAGTAATCTGTTTCTTATACACCCTTACTTCGCACTATTTAACATTTTCTCTATTCTCGTGATCGCAGTGGCGCATTAATATATAACACAACGGTCATGAGTGACGTCATCCGGTTTATTGCTTACTACTCACACCTAGTGTGACTCTCCACTAAAAGTGGTCTACCGTATCTGTTGATTGTCTAGGCAGCGATGATCAAGCAAACTCTAGATAAGATCAAAGAATATATGTCAAACACTCTAAAATCAGACTGACGCTCCAGAAACGCATCCGTGAATTACAACAAGGAAAGTATTCCTCAGGTCAACGCCATGGAGTAGCCAATCACGGACCTGAAAATTGATCTCACACATATGTTTGCTACCAGTTATCTCAAAGGGGTTTCGCACCCACAGGTGTGTACGAAAAATCGGTAACTATTAGTGCTAGAGACAAACCTGTTTCGAAGTCCTCAGGGTGTCTCTCTAACCACTCTGGCAAAAATATGCCAATGAACAGAGCCATCCCAACGATGAGGAGGTTCCTGGAAGAGTTCATATTGACGAACTGTAACGAAGAGAGTCCGAGAGTGACCATCATGCCACATACCGCTACCATAGAACCGACAAGAGCTGGGTCCGGTATTGTGGCAAGGGCAGCGCCGACCTTCCCCACGACCGACAGTACCAGCATAATGGCACCGGCACTGTACATGATGTAGCGGTGAGCTGTCTGCAACAGTGGCATGGTAATAAAATTATTGGATCATTTTAGCCATTTAAATTCGGTCTTATAAAATACAGGTCCACAATGCAGGGTCACAATGGTGTGAATATTGAAGTCAAATCTTATACATATATACGTCAACAATGACACGTTCACAGACTACTTATTAAATAATTAACACACAAAGGCTGTAGACAACAATACGAAATCAGTAACATCGTTTAATACAACAATACAACAAAACCCGCCCAATTTAGTCTCAACCAATAAAAAAACAGTAGCCAGTTAGTGGGCGTGACCTAATGATCAGCCAATCAAATGCCACAAAATAACTTGCAACTTGTCATTCGTCACCACTCGCCCCTCTCCGTAACCTGCAAGAAAACTCTTGCCCCTATCGCATGTCCCGATGTGCTTTAAATTGCATCTGAAACATATATAATATATGGGGAAATATATGTGAACCATTACGCAACGAGTTGACAATTGTTTTAGGTATGCCCGTTTGCGCTAAGACGGAACCCGGTCGCAAAAATGGCCATGAGAGGGGCACGAGTCGCTATTCGGCTTGTCCAGGAATAACACGGGTTGGTCACGAATGGCAACTTGTTTATATCCCGAGAATATACCTCTTTTGAGTAAGTGAACATACTTTAGTCAGAGTCATAGCAGCAATGTTGGGTGTGTACGAAGTTGTAGAGAGGCCAAATCCCACCGTTCCAGAAAGTAGTCCCCCAAGCCCTTCTATAAATATCCCCCTGTTGATGGCGTGTTTCGGTGGAGTGGTGACTTCGCAAGCTTTGGCCGCAGCAAAGTAGTCCCCGACAGACTCAATAATGGAGGCAAGGAACGCTGCTATGAATCCTATAAACAGTCCTATGTTAAACGACGGCATTCCAAACTGACCTGAAACAGTAGAAGGCGTAAGTAGTGTACACTAAACATATGTACATAAACATGTTGAAACTCACCTTGCAAAACCAAAGTTGAAAGTAAGATCAATTTAAACATAAGCAGGTGCTCAATTCTTACCCTACTTTAAGTCTACTCTAAATAAACAAAAAATGACCTACTGTATTCTTAGGAGACTTTAAAATAGCCTGCAAGAAAGGGACGAAATATTTTCTCCCTCTAAATTCGAGGCATATGTAATCATATTTCAGAAAAACTACACGACCTTGAACATTATTTATCAGAAGCAACCCCTCCCTCCCCCATCCCAAATGTCAAATGGCTTCTCCCTTACATCATTTGAAATCGGATTGGCAGCCCAAAAAGGATTGTAATCGGATGCAGCAGACAATGGACAATGATATTCGTTTTTAAGGTTCACCTAGTGCAGTTAGACTTGCCTCAATATTTGAAACGGTGAAAGAGAATTCTGCTAATAATGCTAATCGGAGGAACATTATTGTATGGTTCAAGCTAGAAGTACCTTCACGTGAATAAAAGCGAAAACACCGTTTCTTAGTCACCGTCCAATGTACGATTTCGACCACATCGTACGCAAAGTGTTCAGGAATCATCACCAAATAGTCAGCGTATTCCCCCTCCCAACACACACACACACACTGGCCACATCCGTCACAACCACACGCAAAGGCATGTCAATTGATCAGCTCATTGATGCGCCATGTTTACAAATACCCTCGAAATGTCTACGTATTGTAGGCATGTGAACCTAATACGGAACTTTCTGCGAACAGTTAGAAAAAAAAGCTTGGTCAGTTTAAGCATTGTCTACTTGGTAAACCTTAGACGCAGACCAGAAAAAAAACTGCTTTTTGTTTGTTAGCACTGGCGTTAAATACAACGACACTGTCTATGATTCGTACACAATCATAGCTCACTAATAAATCAACCTTCTCATTTGAAAACTAAACACCAGTTAGCCTCGTGTTTGTGATCGTGTGGCTGGTTGTACATTTGTGAATGAAGCTAAAGTAGCGCCATCGTAACTTCTCAGCGAATCACATGACGTAATTTATGTTCATCCAATCACAATGATATTACAACACCAACAACCCTGGCATATCTGGGTACCAGTACATGTAGCTTTGCTGCAGAGAGAGACTTCCGTTGGAAGATATTCGAGGCACGTGTTACTTTTGTTATTCCAGCCATTTAGTAAGACTCAACTACTATCTTTAACAACCCCGTAGGGATTCTGGGTTAGAATAGATCCCCAGCTTCCAATGCAGGTCGTAAGAGATGACCAAAGGGATCTGTTGGTGAGACTCGGTGACTTGCTTGATTATGTGTCATCGTACCCAGACAGCGTGGGTCGTTGCTCACAATATCGATCATTGAATTGTCAGGTTCAGACTCGATTATTTACAGGTTGCTGTCATAAAGCTGGAATAATGAGGCGTTAAACCACAAACAAACAATCTTTAATAGTGTTATTTACCTGGGTGGGGGACGTAAAACCAAGGCGTGCGATGTAACATCGTGGATTTGGCATCTGTCCTGGCCCTGAACCTTGGATTGGCGGGGTCTGTAGGGAACACGTTTGCGTTTGTTAGGATTCCAGATACGGCCCACACTACGAGGATGCTGAGGAGGACCTGATGTTACAACAACAGTTACAACAACAGTTACAACAGTCAGAACAACAGTTAAAACAACAGGCACAACAACAGTTACAACAACAGTCACAACAACAGTTACAACAGGCAAAACAACAGTTACAACAACAGTCACAACAACAGTTACAACAACGGTTACAACAACAGTTACAACAACAGTCACAACAACAGGAACAACAACAGTTACAACAAGTCACAAGAACAGTTACAACAACGGTTACAACATTTACAACAACAGTTACAACAACGGTTACAACAACAGTTACAACAACATTTACAACAACAGTCACAACAACAGTCACAACAGGCACAACAACAGTTACAACAACAGGCACAACAACAGTTAGTACAGGCACAACAACATTCACAACAACAGTTACAACAACGGTTACAACAACAGTCACAACAACAGTTACAACAGGCACAACAACAGTCACAACAACAGTTACAACAACGGTTACAACAACAGTTACAACAACAGTCACAACAACAGTTACAACATCAGTCACAACAACAGTTACAACACCAGTCAAAACAACCGTCACAACAACAGTTACAACAAGGCCACATCAACAGTCACAACAGTTACATCCTTATCGAGCTTTGGGCAGTCAGATAGCCTTGTGGTTAAAGCGTTCGCTCGTCACGCAGAGGACCCGGGTTCGATTCTCGACATGGGTACAATGTGTGAAGCCCATTTCTGGTGTCCCCCGCCGGGATATTGCTGGAATATTGCTAAAATCGGCGTAAAACCAAACTCACTCACTCACTCACCCACCTTATCTAGCTTGTATTTTTTCCCTTGTAAGATGCTCAGGCTTGTAAGCGTTGTCAAAAATTGGTTTCGGGTTATAATAGAAAACTTCCAGTGTCGCTAGACTGGTGAGGGCACTGTGTATAGATTTCCTGTAGCTAGTTTGGCTGCATACACTCTTCAAAAAAGAAACGCACAGGTAGTAGGTAATTCATTGAACCTGACTACACAAAACAAATCCGGTATATAAATTGGATATATGTTATTGGAAAATGTTGGTGGCCTGATATTCGACAAACGGTGCGTCAAAACGCAGCCCATGTCGATTTGCTATGTCTTCAATGGCATTCTTTTCACACTTGTTAAGAAATGTCATGGAGGAAAACAGTAAAGCAAAATGCACGTGCAAGTTATGACATTCGTAACTCGTGGTAGTGGCTATAAAAAGGCAAGCTTAAGCCAATAATTTGTCATTCAATTGTCAACATATTCGAAAATGCCGAGACTCAGCGCTGCCGATCGGAACATCGCCATTGGACGTATCCATAGAGGGGAACCGCAGTCTTCTGTTGTACGCCACGTCAACGTCCACCACAGCATCATTTGCCGCTTTTGGGACCGATACACACAGTTCAATTCCATTGCAGACCGTCCGAGAACCGGCCGCCCAAGAGTTACCACTCCTGCGCAGGTTCGCTACATTCGTCATTGCAATGCCACAGCCACGGAGACTGCAGGACGCATCCCTGGTTTGAGGAGGATATAGGACCAGACTGTCAGGAACAATCTTCGCGAGGCTAGAATCCGACCCAGAAGGCCAGTTATCGTCCCTGTTTTGCAACAGATCCAACGACAGCGACGCCTGCGTCGGTGCCATATCTTACAGCCTTGGAATTTGAGAAACTGGAGACGAGTGTGGTTTAGCGATGAATCACGATTTCTTCTTCACCGGCGAAATGGAAGACAACGTGTTTATCGTCGTCGAAATGAGCGTTTTACCCCTCATCGTGTACGTGACTTCGACAATTTCGGTGGCGGTAGTGTCATGGTGTTGGGGGCCATATCCTACACCACGAGATCTGAATTGGTTGGGGTTCAGGGAAATGTGACAGCAAATCGCTACATGAATCAACAGGATAACCCTCCACCGCACACAGCTCGTGTCATGGTAGACTACCTTCATAATGCCAACATGAACGACTTGCCCTGGCCATCGAGATCTCCAGATCTCAACCAAATCGAACACCTCTGGAATGAACTCAATCGACGTGTACGTCAACGTCAGAACACGCTGCAGACACTCCCACATCTGGTCAAAGCGTTACAAGCAGAATGGCGCAGAATTCCGCAGGACAGAATTCGTACACTCATCCAGTCAGTGCCGAGGGGATGCAGAGCAGTGATTGCTGCCCGGTGCGGTCAAACGAGATACTCAGTTCAGAGCAACCTTGTGGCCTTATGTGATATGACAATGAACAGTTTTCAATACCTTTGTACAAAGACAACATGTGACTCTCGAGCTCCAAAATGTCATATTTGTATCTATGATATGAAATTACATACATCAACTTTATTAGATACAATATATATACTAAACTCTACCTGTGCGTTTCCTTTTTTTGAAGAGTGTATGTGGGGACAAGGGCGTGTCTCACACATATTCATTTGAGAATACAACAAGACCAAAAGCGGGAAAATCACCACGGAATCCCTGCCTAGCCCATTTTGGAAGCCTGACCACTGTCGCCGCTTGGTGAATATATATTAGTGTCTTTTTCTTTTGCTGTCACCATTGTATTTTTTTGGTATTTGATACTGACCATTGCCCTCGTACGACATACTGTCATGGAACATAGTACCTCCACTCTATTTTGTACTGTCACTGTAATTGCTGTGAGGTTTTTGTGTTGTTTGTTTGTTTCACACTTTTCACCATTCACGTACAGATTTCTGGGTTAACATAATGTTTCAATTTTAGAATCGATATGTAACATCTGTGACATGGCTTTCAGTCCATTATTGACAGGCTGCTTAGATATAGCTGTAATACTGCTGAGTCAGCGTTAACGACATTCACTTACTCATAACAACATTTGAAATTTACTCAAGAATAAATATTTACTGATAATCGCATGACTGTTTCCACGTACCGGAAGTAGCTGAAAGATGAGCAAGCCATGAGTCTTGCTCTTTCTCCTTCTGTGTTGTGCGCTACATGCGCTCCGTGTGGGGAAGGGCACGGCGATATGGCCAAGGTACAACGCAAACAGCACGACAAGCACAACACCTCTGGTGAAAAAACATTTGAACAATTTGTTTTGTTCTTTAAGCATACTAATGAGCTGCACATGTTTAGATATGTGGTGTGCCAGTTGTTCTGAGCATAACGTTCTACGGTGATGAATGTTAGATATTATGTGTAAATCACTTGAGATTATATTCGCATTTGTTTCTGTAACTTACATATATAAACATTGTTCCTTTGTAATGTATGATAAACTGCCGGGAACAATAGAGCATACACCCATGTTTTATAGTGGCTAGAAATGAACAAGGAATTGTTATTCGATGGTGATGTTTTTGGACTTTACGTTTGCTGTGATTCTGCGACTGTTTTCACGTCAAATGAGGGCTAATTTGGTGTGCGTGCATGCGTACGTGCGTGCGAGGGTGCGTGCGTGTATGTGAGTGCGTGTGTGTGTTTTCTCAGATTCGCCTTTATCATGATACAGGTATACAGATCAGAATCACTTCAGGCCTTCCTCACACATCAACTAGACACTCCGCTATACAACTGAATTAATGTTCCAACTCATTCACTAAGTATCAAGTGTCAACTGATTTGCAGGCGTGTTCAATTCCTCACAGGGTTCAATGTATAAAGCAGGTTGTCCACCGCCATGATATTGCTGGAATATTCACTAAAAGCGGCGTTAGGCCAAACTCTATCACACACAAGCTTTTTGGAATAGCTTTTCCGAACACCTGGTGCCATCTATATTTGATAGTGATTCATTAACACATGCTCATGATATAGTCGGAATCGTACAATCCACCATATCATAGAAATATGTACTCACAGTAAGGATAGTTCCCATGACGACCGTGAGTAGGCAATGAGCACCTTGTACACACTCAGTCCTACCAGAGCAATGGTAGGGGCCACTGTAACTGGTCCTACAAATTTCATTAGAAGACCTACAAGTCCTGTCCCACCAATGAGGATCTCAACACACGAGGCAGCCATTAAACTTCCAGATACCTGAAAGTACAATTTATATCATCATCGTCATCATCATCATCATCATCATCATCATCATCATCATCAACATCATCATCATCGTCGTCATTATCATCTCTTTCGCATCATCATCATCATCATCATCATCATCATCATCATCATCAACATCATCATCATCGTCGTCATTATCATCTCTTTCGCATCATCATCATCATCATCATCATCAACATCATCATCATCATCGTCGTCGTCGTCGTCGTCGTCGTCGTTGTAGTCATCATCATCGTCGTCGTCGTCGTCATCATCATCATCTCCCTTATCACAATCATATCGCATTCACCCTCTTCATTATTATTTCTACTCATCATAATATTCTTGCTCACACACTGCATTCTCAACGCCCTTTTGATAAAGTTTCACGAGATGGTCAGCAGAACGTGTGGTAGCAGAACGTGTGTTTTCTTGATACCCGATTATTTTCCTTGGTGTGTCAGAATGTTTGCTCGTGGATTTCACCAAAGTGGTGAACATCTAAGACCTGTATCACTTCGGGCTTTCCTCCCATATTAAGCTGACACGACGTGATATACATGTAACTGCAATACTGTTACTCACTCATGTATACTTCGATACACATACTTCTCTCAGTTTGTCTTCGGGACTCAAACAGGTCGGCAAGTCGCCCATTGGAACAGTATCTGGAGTTGAGGTGGTGTTGTAACCATCGTCGGTGATGTTGTAGTATGTGTTGTTGTAGTCTGTGTTGTTGTAGTCTGTGCTGTTGTAGCCTGTGCTGCTATCTGAAAAGGAAGAGTTTTCGAAAACCAACATACATGTAGCCGAGCATCATTATATATTTCATTAAAGAAATAATGCAATTGCGTAATGACGTAATAAGTAGAGGGTATGACGCGAGAGTGTTTGGGGATGGTAAATATCCTGTATTTGGAAAAGATATTGTATTAGGCAAGCCTTGGCGAGCTAAATAACATGTGTTTACTTACAATACGGGACATTAGCCATCCCAAGCACACAAGTAGGACGACCTCTTTATCATTTGTCATTCCTCAATTCTATGCTCGAAGCATCTCTTCCCATCACTCACAAACATTGTATAAACACTGTTTTCCTGGAATGTGCCCATTAATATACTAGCCACATGAAGAAACTGTGCACGGAGAAAATATAGATATGAGGGCACACCGTCCATATATGAAATATAGGTTTAAACACAGCAATTATTGGAGACATTCAAACGCTCATGCACGTGCCATGCGATATGACGTCATTGATGGGGGCCTATGGACGTGCATCCTGTGCAGCTGTACACAGCATGTGCAACTCAAAATTCGCTGTCACTTTGGAAAGCATGATCTGTGGTCATTCAAATATTCAAAATTTTCAGGCGCAGACACAAGCATACCACAAGCAAATCATGCCAAGATTGACAGCTGCACAGCGTCATGAAGCCATTGGAATGATCCGAGCAGGAATGAGGCAACAACAGGTGGCAACACATTTACAATGCCATCGTAACACGATATCGGCATTGGTGAGGCGTTATCAGAACACAAATGACGTTGCCGACCACCCACGTTCAGGACGTCCCCGAGTAACGACGCCAAGACAGGACAGATGAATTCGAGTGACACATCTCCGACACAGGTTCCAAACGGCAGTAACGACGTCCCAGACAATTCCTGGACTGCGCCGTATCCATCCCAACACTGTCAGGAATCGTCTACGTCAGTACGGGATTCGACCACGACGCCCTGCCATACGTCCCATCCTGACACACCGTCATCGAGTCAACCGTCTAAGATGGTGTCGAAATCATGTTCGCCAACCTCGAATATGGTGGAGAAATGTTGTCTTTACAGATGAATCGAGGTTCAACATTTCCCACAGTGACGGGCGCCAACGTGTCTATCTCACAGTGTTGGCTACAGAGATCAGATTCTGAGGCCTGTGGTCATTCCTTTCCTGCAACGCCATGGCCCGGGATTGACATTTCAACAGGACAACGCTCGTCCTCTCACGGCTAGGGTCGCAATGGATTTCCCTCCATAACAATGTCATGTTACTGCCATGGCCTGCAATTTTTCCAGATCTCTCCCCAATAGAGCTTGTGTGGGATGAACTGGAGCGCCGTCTGCGTCGTCTTCCACATCCTCCAGATAACGTCCGTGACTTGGCACAGGATTTGAGGAGGATATGGCAGGCCATTCCCCAGGCCTTCCATGCCCATTTGGTGGACTCCATGCGTCGCCGATGCACTGCTGTGATTCACGCACAGGGTGGTCATACCCGTTATTGACTTTGTGACTTTGTCGTTTGACCCCCTACTCCATTTTGATCTTCTGACGTCATCGTAACAGATGTTGTTCAGGTCCCGTTGACATTTTCTTATGGTCCGATCATTCAGCTGCTACAGCGTCTGCATCATTTTGTTCTTGCTGTGTTGTATTTCAATCCAGAATATATTTTCTCCGTGCACAGTTTCTTTATGTGGCTAGTATATATATTACGTCAGAATGTAAGTGATTTGATTCGGACAGTGACAACAGGCAGTATGGAATGACACATGTTTCTTATACAGTGGCGTAATTACATATATGTACAACAACAATTGCTTACACAAATTGTTTATATTTGCCTTTCGCGATCATCAATCGGTCTGTTCGCTAGAGTAACTGTCTGTGAAAAAGTCACAAGAGTAGAAACAGTCACGAGAGTAGAAATAGGCACGACTGTCAAGATGGCTACAGGGTAGAAACAGTCACGAGAGTAGAAATAGTCACGTCAGTCAAGGAAGTCACGTCAGTCAAGATAGTCACGACAGTCAAGATAGTCATGACAGTTAAAATAGTCACGACAGTCAAGATAGTCACGACAGTCAAGATAGTCACGAGAATCAAGATGGTCATGAGAATAGAACTAGTCACGACAGTCAAGATAGTTACGACAACCAGGATTGTCACGAGGGTAGGAATAGTGACGAGAGTAGAAATAGTCACGAGAGTAGAAATAGTCACGACAGTCAAGAGAGTCACGTCAGTAAGGATAATCACGTCAGTCTAGAGAGTCACGACAGTCAAAAAAGTCACGATAATCAATATGTCACAACGGTCAAGATGGTCCAGAGAGTAGAAATAGTCACGACAGTCAAGATAGTTACGACAACCAGGATGGTAAGGAGGGTAGAAATAGTCAAGAGAGTAGAAATAGTCACGACAGTCAAGATTCGCTCACTAAACCACCCATATACTAACTCGCTCGCTCGCCAGGGGCACGGAGGGCCAAGTCGTTTAAGGCGCCGCGTTTAAGGCGCCTGTGCAGAATTGCATCGCCCGGGCACGCCAGAATCCTTTGATCATGGGTTCGCCCCGATTGTGTTTCTAGGTTTGCAAACACAATACCCTTGGTCGTGGGTTTCGCCAAAGTGGTAAACTTCATCGACCTTCATCACATCTGACTTTCCTCCCACATGAAGTTGACACACCGACATGTAACTCGAATACTGTTCAAAGCGGCGTTCAATTCACTCACTCACACACTCATCAACTCACCGACACAACCGCTCGCTCACTCACCTTTACAAGTCCATTCCCTACTTCTCTGGACTGTCAGCAGGACAAGTAGAAATGCTGTCGCCGGACCCTGGATCATCGGCAGCCTGGGGAAAGAGTTATTGCAATGAGGGACTCCCAACTGACACATGACCATCCTCCCGAGGCAAGGGAGTTAACTGACTATAAGCTATTACGAGTTGTGTCCCTTCCCTGCCTCTCCAATTGACCAATCAGAATCCACCTCTTGCATCACTTGCATTTGCTTCGAACAAAATGACGACGCACAGCCAGACAATCTGATCAATAATTAAGATCCACATTGTGATAAAATGGTTCTTACATCGTGAAGTTCATCAAATCACGTGAGCACCTTGATTTAAAACATGGACAGATTTGGAAAGTATCTGTTGACGCAGAATTGGCGGTGCACGTGCTTTGCAAATCCTGCAATCGACCGAAATCTGTACGACAGTTTACGAACCGGACTTAGATTTCGTTACCGATTTTGATATAGATACCGATATGCATAGACTCGTTAGTCCGGCCAAAATATAACTCCATAACACCAGCCTCGTTCGGCAAGGGTGGAAACTGGACTTTCCACCCCCCCCACCCCCCACCCCCATCCCCCCAAGATGACGCATGGAATCATTCACTCGTTATGAATGAGTCGTGTTTTGTGCCGTAGTCAGCTATGTTTCATCTATGTCAAATAATCTGAGCCTGGGGCCCGTTGCACACAGCGATGCCAGCGCTATGACTGTAACTCCTCACGTCTCACATATCTGCTCCACCCCCCACCCCCCACCCCCATCCCCCCTCCTACCCCCTGTCCCCCATCCCCCACCCCACCCCCCCCAAACAAGACAAAGGGTGACAGTAAATGCATGCTACTACTTACCTGGCACCTAGTGCTGTCTGAAGCAGGGTACAGGCGCCCGATGTAAATATTACGGTGGAAAAGAGTTTGGTTCTAATAAGACTGTCATGTTCCGCGCCCACTATATCAGCGGCAAGGAAACTCCCCAGCAGAAATGTAGGAACGCACATCAAAATATGCTGTGAATATAAAATAGTGAATGCATTTGCATCTTCAATCAAACGAAACAACATACTGCCCTGTGTCCTATTCATGGCGGACTCACAGTAAACCTATAGCTTTGCAGGACGAACTTGGCATACGCATCAATTGGCCAACTACGCTTGTTTGTGTGTTGGTTTATCAGGCTGCAGTCAACATAATCCTGTTACATCACGGCAGCCTGTTCATAATCGAGTCGTGGAATGACAAACTAGTGTCTGATAGCGTGAGCAACGCCCAGGTTGTGAGGGGACACTGACGCGCAATCTGTCAAGGATGGCAAACATGTGCGAGTGAGTGAATGGTAATCTATGACGCCACAGAAAGCAATAATCAATCTGTAGCCAAACTGCGGGGCAAAAGAAAGTATACACTGGAACATTCTCACTTTACTCTCCCCCTAACTGTGGACTGTGAAATTGCGCCCCCCCCCCCCCCCCCCCTCCCTCCCCTCATACTCATTGATATGATGCATGTAATATCACCTATGATACTCGAATCAAATACTTCGCCATCAACCATTTCTTGTTTGTTTCATTTTTATCACCACCATCAGATATGGATGTATACTTTCTTTTGCCCGACAAAGTACATCACGGCTCTAGCAAGGCTTTTAAACAATCAACAATCCTCGCCTTCCGGCTAGCCACATCTAGCCTTACAAGAAAACCTTGACTGGAGACATCAACTTGATTGGTTTTCAAATGCAGATGTAGCATTTAAAAACGCCGAGCGGTTAATTCCCCCTTTTCGTATCCTGTTTTCGAGACGCCAAAGTTGACCTGATTTAAAATGATAATGCAAGTCAGATAATGTGTAGTGTCGGAGACCTGACATTCGTTAGACACACATTAGTAAGACAGCTTAACCCTCATGGTGCCACGGGACCATATATGGTCTCTCACTTTTCACACCCGCATAGTGCCAGGGGACCATATATGGTCCCGAAAAAATGCCCTTTTTAAACTGTTAATTTTGATATCAAACACTGAGTGCGCAAAGGAAAAAATATAACCATCAACACCCCAATCATCATAGCTTTAACATCGTGTAACTGATACTTTATACAAAGCTACGCATTGCGAAATATAGCGGGATTAGTAAAGTGGCTACCGCTCTTATCAGCCTTTTTCTGCCATGTTTGAACACCAAGCGAATGATGGCGCATTTTGATTATGCACCCATGTCACATACACGTAAATATTTTTAGACAAAATCCTTGTTCATAAGAAATAATATGACCTGAGTGGTCAGAAAGACATATTTTTCCCAACTGTATACTTATTCACGTAAATACAATTCTGTTCACTCCTTTACGAAGAAGTTTATTTACACGTTTTGTATATTTTTATTGACTACTGGTAATGTCGGAATGGTCGGTACACATGAGAAAACGACAGTGTATATTTCCATTACATTGATAACGTTCATTGAATGAAATTATAACCATCATCACCCTAATCATCTCAGCATTAATTTCGTGTAACTCATATTTTATGCAGTGCTACGCATTGCGAAATATGGCGAGATCAGTAAAGTGGTTACCGCGCCTCTCGACCTTTTTCTGCCATGTTGCACTTCATGCGAATGACGGCGATTTTTTTATTATGCACCCATGTCGCATACACGAAACTATTATAATATCAGACAGCCAATTTGAAAAAAGAAATTGATCCGACCGGTCGGAAATGTACACTTTTCTCCACTGCAAAGCTAGTGGCGTAAGACTACAAACATTTAGTCCGCAACGGAAGTGTTTTGTTCAAGTATTGCATATTTTTATCGACCGTGTGTCATGGCGATTTAGCACGGCGCTAGAGACGAAACGGCAGCGCAGATTGTCTTTCTGTTTATGATGCTGATTTACAGAAAATATTAAATTCTAAGATATGAAAAGATTGCTGTGATCGTTAATATAAAGGTGGTGTAGTGTAAATTTATGGGCAGGAATTTCATGATCAAAACGTAAACTTTGAATGACCAAGCCCAAAGTGATCGACAGGGCACGTTCGCATCTTAGCTGTGCCGCGATTTCTTGTCTACCAGCTGTCTTTCATGCATGACGGTTTTGACAAATAACTGCTGCTTTTTTTATATGAAATGACTAAGGGTCATGTGTGATTGGTCAAACCACCTGACCGCTCGAATGAATTGCCCTAACCGTTTGGCATTTTGTCTTTCATGCATGACGGTTTTGACAAATAACTGCTGCTTTTTTTATATGAAATGACTAAGGGTCATGTGTGATTGGTCAAACCACCTGACCGCTCGAATGAATTGCCCTAACCGTTTGGCATTTTGTCGCAAAAGGAGATTTCAAAATTGTGGCCACGACATCTAACGTGAGTCGACGCCATGTTGTAAACAAATTGTGTCAAGGTCGGTTCCACATGTGGTAGCTCGGCCCCCGTTTCTGTCGATGGTACACGCGATACAAACATAATACAACTACTGAAAACATCACGATAACTTCTAAAATGATGCCAGCAATACCTTTTTGCCTTTCGGTTAACCGCTCATGGATACGATATGCTGTAAAGTTCGATTTCGATTTGTTTTACCTTTCATTGAAACCGTGACAATGGCGCTATGCTTGGTTTGCTATTTTCCCTTAGTCTGATGTACATGGTACATGCTGTGATTGTACAAGATAATTGATAACCAACTGTGTATGCATATCTATCATCAAATATTCATTACTAATCTCCTCAGAAAATGGAATATGTTATCATAACACGACAGCTCGTATTTCCAACATTTTGCCATGGATATTAGATCTAATTAATATTAGATTTACAAATTATTGATGTAGACTGTAGTTTCGATTAACATATGATAATCTATTGCGAGTCTTCAACTCTGATGCGATATGATTTCTTTCAAAACCCGACTAACGGAATCGGGTGGTCAGGCTCCCTGACATGGTTGATGCATGTCATCGATCCCAATTGCGTGGATCGATGCTCATGATATTAATCACTGGATTGGCTGGTCCAGACTCGATTATTTACAGACCGCCGTCATATAGCTGGAGTATTGCTGAGTGCGGCGTTAAACAACCAACCAACCAACCATTGAGATAACATGCCGTAGGTTAACATTATTATATCCCGACCAGATCTTGTTTTATGTCCTTAATGCCGAGCGCCAGGCAGGGTAACACCAAGTACCATCTTTCATCGTTGTATAGAATGACGCGGCCGGAGATCGATCCACCGATCTTCCGCTCTTCGGGTAGACGCTCTATATCAACAAGCCCACGGAGACGGTCCACACTTTGAATAAATTCACAATGCATGTATTTCCCATCGAAGGAATTACAAACAGAGCATTGAATCTGGGGTACTGACCGTTGCAGTCTCGTTTCAGTCCCCTCTATGACAAACATGAGGCCTAGGGCCTCCGCATCATAGAAGGGTTACAGTATAAGGTGTCGTCCACATCCCAGAAGGGTTACAGTATAAGGTGTCCTACACATCCCAGAAGGGTTACAGTATAAGGTGTCCTACACATCCCAGAAGGGTTACAGTATAAGGTGTCGTCCACATCCCAGAAGGGTAACAGTATAAGGTGTCGTCCACATCCCAGAAGGGTTACAGTATAAGGTGTCCTCCACATCCCAGAAGGGTTACAGTATAAGGTGGTCTACTAATCCCAGAGGCTTACATTATGTGGTCTACACATCCCAGAGAGTTACAGTATAAGGTGTTCTACACATCCCAGAGGGTTACATTATAAGGTGTCCTACACATCCCAGAAGGGTTACAGTATAAGGTGTCCTCCACATCCCAGAAGGGTTACAGTACAAGGTGTCCTACATAATATCGTTAATATCCGGAGAGAGGTGTCTTCTATTATTAATTCGAGATACATAATACCACCAGTTCGGCAATTCGAGTGGGGAACATAAGAAATGTAACGTCAAGTCACACATGTAACTTCGATCAGTCATTTTGAATGATAATTCTCGTGACATGTAACGAGAAAGTACGGTACGGTACCGGCTGCTCAGCTTTGATCAACTGGCAACGCCACTTTCGTTCGCTTGGACTGGACAAATGCTTCATGTCAAGATACCAAACGTAAGTGGTAGCTGATACGCAGCAAACAACTTCCTGTTAACGCTAGATCACTAATGTAACTTAATCAGCTCGAATTTAATGTCAATGGTAATAAATTCAAACGATATTAATCGACGGCACACATGTCGTCTGCTTGTGTAAATGTCACGTGACCAGACACTAGATATCCTCGTCAAATCAAAACTATGGAAACAAATAAGAGCCATTTCTTTTAGAAAACTGAATGCTTTTTGAGAACTTACGTCTCTGTAGTTTAGATGATATGAAAGATAAAGCCTCATTTCTACAGGTTTTGACCAATGGTGAAGCACCCAGAAGAGGCCAATATAGACAATATTTGTCTGCAGCCCTAAACAAAGCATATGCTGCTGTTTCGATGGGAAGACAATTAGGATAGCTGCCATTATCTTTGCTCTTCCGTTTACTTCACGTCATGACCCGATTAGTTGGGAACGTTCTCCTTCTCCTGGTAGGGACACCCTGTTATCCATTGAAGAAGGGCAGGGACTTGTTTCATATATTGACGCCACGGCAAATTTAAAGTACGGCTATACTAGGGCTGAGGTTATCACAATTGCCTCAGATCTAGCAATTTATCTTGGAAAGAATTAAAAAATGAAAACAACTATCACTTCAATGATTCTACGGATTTATGAAACGATGGTCTGATCTGTCAGTGAAGAAGCCACGATACCCTGTGATATGGAGAGCGAATGCTACGTTAAAGGTGACCGCCACTCACTTGGACATATCATGGATAAGTACACCCTGAATGCATGCCCTCATCGAATTTATAATGTTGATGAAAAGGACTAGTGGAGAATCACACATCACCATCAAGTAGTCACATCGAGTCAGAGTAGAGCGTGGAGTGTGTAGATTGTGTGGTGTGGAGTGTGTGGTGTTGGGAGGGTATGGAATGTGTGTAGTGTGTGGAGTGTGTGTGGTGTGGAGTGTGTGGTGTGGGATGTGTAGTGTGGGGAGTATGTAGAATGTGTGGTGTGTAGAGTGTGTTGAGTGTGTAGTTTGTGGAGCGTGGAGTGTGTGGTGTGTGTGGTGTGTGGAATTTGTGTGATGTGTGGAGCATGTGGTGTGGAGTGTTTGTGGTGTGTGGATTGCGTGGTGCGTGGAGTGTGTGGAATGTGTGGTGCGTGAAGTGTGTGGTGTGTGTGGTGTGTGGAGTGTGTGGTGTGTGGAGTGTGTGGTGTGTGGAGTGTGTGGTGTGTGGAGTGTGTGTGGTGTGTGGATTGCGTGGTGCGTGGAGTGTGTGGAATGTGTGGTGCGTGAAGTGTGTGTTGTGTGGCGTGTGTGGTGTGTGGAGTGTGTGGTGTGTGGAGTGTGTGTTGTGGTGTGTATGGAGTGTGTGTTGTGTGGAGTGTGTGGTGTGTGGAGTGTGTGTGGTGTGTGGTTTTTGTGTGGTGTGGAGTGTGTGTGGTGCGTGGAATGTGTGGTGCGTGGAGTGTGCGGAGCGTGTGGTGCGGGAGTTGTAGTGTGTGATGTGTAGTGTGGGGAGTGTGTTGAATGTGTGTGGTGTGGAGTGTGTTGTGTGTTGATTGTGCAGTTTGTGGAGCGTCTGGTGCGCGGAGCGTGTGGTGCGTGGAGTGTGTGGTGTGTGGAGTGTGGAGTGTTGAATGTGTGGTGCGTGGAGTGTGTGGTGTGTGGAGTGTGTGGTGTGTGGAGTGTGTGTGGTGTGGAGTGTTGAATGTGTGGTGCGTGGAGTGTGTGGTGTGTGGAGTGTGTGTGGTGTGGAGTGTTGAATGTGTGGTGCGTGGAGTGTGTGGTGTGTGTGGTGCGTGGAGTGTGTGGTGTGTGGAGTGTGTGTGGTGTAGAGTGTTGAATGTGTGGTGCGTGGAGTGTGTGGTGTGTGTGGTGCGTGGAGTGTGTGGTGTGTGGAGTGTGGAGTGTGTGTGGTGTGTGGAATGTGTGGTGCGTGGAGTGTGTGGTGCGTGGAGTGTGTGGAGAGTGTGGTGTGTGGAGTGTGTGTGGTGTGGAGTGTGTGTGGTGCGTGGAATGTGTGGTGTGTGGAGTGTGAGGTGTGTGGAGTGTGTGGTGTGTGGAGTGTGTGGAGTGTGTGGTGTGTTGAGTGTGTGGTGTGTGGAGTGTGTGTTGTGTGGAGTGTGTGGTGTGTGGAGTGTGTGTGGTGTGGAGTGTGTGTGGTGCGTGGAATGTGTGGTGTGTGGAGTGTGAGGTGTGTGGAGTGTGTGGTGTGTGGAGTGTGTGGAGTGTGTGGTGTGTGGAATGTGTGGTGCGTGGAGTATGCGGAGCGTGTGGTGTGGGATGTGTAGTGTGTGATGTGGAGTGTGGGGAGTGTGTTGAATGTGTGTGGAATGTGTGTGGTGTGGAGTGTGTTGTGTGTGGAGTGTGTAGTTTGTGGAGTGTGGTGTGTGTGGAGTTTGTGGCGTGTGTGGTGTGTGGAGTGTGTGTGGTGTGGAGTTTTGTGTGGTGTGTGGAATGTGTGGTGCGTGAAGTGTGTGGTGTGTGTAGTGTGTGGTGTGTAGAGTGTGTGTAGTGTGGTGTGTAGAGTGTGCGGTGTGTAGTGTGTAGAGTGTGTGGTGTGTGGAATGTGTGGTGCGTGGAGTGTGCGGAGCGTGTGGTGTGGGATGTGTAGTGTGTGATGTGTAGTGTGGGGAGTGTGTTAAATGTGTGTTGAATGTGTGTGCTGTGGAGTGTGTTGTGTGTGGAGTGTGTAGTTTGCGGAGTGTGGTGTGTGTGGTGTGTGGATTTTGTGTGATGTGTGGAGTGTGTGGTGTGCGATGTGTAGTGCGGGATGTGAGTGTGGGAATTGTGGTGTGGAGATGAGAGTTGTGGTGAGATGTTAGGTGTGGGGATCATTTTTTTAATAATTTAAACATTTTACTGTTTTTGATGAGTTGGGTTTACCAAACCCCGCCTGAACCATGTATACATGAAACAGAATTGTTGGTACGGGTTACATAAAAAAGAGTAACTTTGAAATAGAAAGCACCTCTGAATGAAATTGAAAGCAATTCTTAAATGTGGAACCGGAATTGAATGTAATATTGAAGCAAATACGAAAAAACTTTTATCGTGATCAGTTCGAATTTTCGAATCGGATGGTGCGGCAACACACGATTTGGTTATGTTACTTAAAGGGTGCAAGTGTATCAAATGTCCTAAAGCCTTTTTAAGAATGACCACATACTGTTTGTCTTACCTGTAAAGCTGCTCCGAGGGTGAAAAGAACCGGAGGTGGTTTTGTGAGGGTGTAGCGCAACGCTGTCTCCGATTTTTTACCATCCTCGTGAACGTCTGGCGCTGCATCCTCGGACCCCACGTCTTTGTCTTCTACATCCGACATGATGGCCTGCTGCTTGCACTCTGTCGTTCCTGCGCACGTGCAGACAATATACAAGTAGAACGTTCGTACAAACTTCGCATTAACTAAAAGCATCAGATGTAGATATTCGTTTGCAAGCGTAGGTCCTAACGTCAAGCTTTTAGCAATATTCCTGCAATATCACGGCTTCACAATTTGTACCTATGTGGACAACCCAACGGGTGACCACTGCATGACGAGAATTTTACACTATTACACTATCACACTATTTACACTAAAGTTACCCCCTACACTTCACTGCATGATAACGTTTGTTCCAACAGCCAGGTGTTTGACAATCCTATTTAGTAATCGCCATACACGGAACATGATGTCCTTGAAGTGGTCACGTGGTGTCAGTATAGACTGGCGACAGCCTTGGTTTGAACATTCTATTAGCCTATACTACGACATTGATCCTTTACACTTGCACTTGACACGCGATCGTTGACTTATAGATCCATGTATACTGTAACTTTGAAAGGATTTCTAAATACTGGACGCGAATATCAGTGTTTTATGGAATCCCGTTAGGGACATTCTCACAATCTAGACCTTTGAGAGGTGAAATGTGCAATGTACTAAAACCACGAGATTTTCACGCATTCTCGTTCCTTTTGCATTATTTTCTGGTTTCCAAAGATCGAGGTCGCGAAGTCGCCAGAACTGGAGAATGACCCATACAGTGTTCCATAGATATACATGAATGGATTAATCCAGTAAAACATAGCAACATCTTGGCCTGTGATACATTTAGTTGGGTGGGCAGTGTGCTGAAGTAACAGTGGGCCTGCACATGAAAGCCTGCATTAAATGCGTATACCGAGCAATACCTTGAAAACCGTTCAATGATTTTCCACAAAACTTGGCATATGCATAGCTCATCAGCTTAACTCGTGACTTTTGCTATTTTAAATATTTTGATTGCTCACGTATTCATTAAAAAGGTTCGCACTGAGTCTCCGTGATGGTAGCTGACAACTTAATCAACTAAAATATCTAGATGCAAATGTACAGTTTGTCAGCACTAGTTTTCCATGTATACTGTTACTGTGACCTACTGCTTATCAGTTGATTATAATTCTCTTGCTTAAAGTGATACGCCATGCTATCAGACTTCATTATGTTGGCATATGTGTATTAATAAGAATATGTACAAGTATTTATGTTTGCTATTGTTGTTTTTCGGATTTGCAAACACATTTATAGTAACAACTTGAACGAATGTATCAAAAATAAGGAGTGGGAGACCCACCCATGAGTAAAAACCCATTCTAGTTTATAAATTAGTTGATCAAACACGTTGTTATGTTTATAGGAATGAAGAGTGGCAGGAGCAAGGCTGTGTGAGTGAGTGAGTATGGATTTACGCCGCTTTTAGCAATAGTCCAATATCACGGCAGGGGACACCATAAATCGGCTTCACACATTGTACTTATGTCGGGAATGGAACCTGGGTCTTCGGAATGACGAGCGAACGCTTTAACCAATAGGCTACCCAACAGCCCCTTATAGAAAGAATGCAAATGGGGCCAAACACAGTCTCAACTGATGGCAGCAATGATGCTTCAATCAAACATTATTCCTTGGTTGTAAGGACTTTTGATTCAGTGTCAGGAATAGTTCATTCAGAACTAGTGTCACTCCCAGTGTGTTCCGAGGCCTCTACTGGAGAAACTATTTTTCTTCTTTTGGACATGGAGCTCGATTCACGCTGTATTCTATGGCAGAACTGGTTGTCACTTGGATGTGACAATGCTAGTGTAATTAAAAGGCTATGAAAAGGGTCTGTTTCCATGTGCTAAAAATAAAAGCCCTGACGTTTTCTTAGCTGGATGTACTCTTCATCTGGTGTACATCGATGCAAGGAAAGCAGCAGAGGCTTTGACAAGTATTGGTGAGGTGCTGATTGACATATTCTATTATTTCAACAAAAGTGACAAAAAGGAAATGAGAGTTTCCAGAAACCCAAGAACTGTTTGATACTGAGCACAAAAAGATGTTAAAACAAGTTTGCACGATTTCGTTGAGTATTGGCTGATGTCTTCATAACTGGGATGCCTTGAAGGTTTATTTCAAAGCCAAGCATGATCTTTCACAGAAACATACAGAAAAATGAAGAAAGATTGAGTCTTTGTCGAGCTGGCCTCGTCACTTGCTAATACATATTCCTCCGCGATGCCATATCATCCATATTTCCCCCTGTATATTCACCACTGTGCACTATTTCCTGCCCCAGTTCTTCAAGTTATATTTTTACGTACTTGTTGCTTTAATTTCAGTGGGTGTATATGAAGAGATACAAAAATATGTTTTCACCTTAGGGCCTATTCTCAAACCGCGGATGTTGCGATCGAAAGTCGGTGTAAAGAGGCCAATGTGTTCATCCTTTCTTCCTCGCCAAGGCCTGATTGGTGAGACTGACAGATAGACTCTGCGTCTCAACCAATCAAAACATGGCATAGTACAGTTCAACCAATCCTTGACTTTCATTTTGAGCTCACGTGCCGGGCTTATTGGTCTCTTATAATAGACAGAGTGGATTTTAAATCGTCGCTTATTCGAGTATGCAGTTCAAGTTACGCACAATGTAGACACTACACTGAGACTTGCCTCGCAGGTCGAGATTTTAAAGCCTTCGTTGCGTCTCGCTCGTGCCGGCCACGCGCTTGTGAGGTCCTCTGACGTGAGATAGTTGACGCGGTGCACGTAGCACGATCAGTAGCCAAGGGTGTTAATTACACCTGTCCGTTTATGTACACCTATGCTTATTCGGAATCATCAGCTGAGAATGAGATCTGTGATTGGTCGTTTTAAGTTCCTATTTGCTCATTAAAACGCCTGCCGTTAAAATGTGCCAAATTACTCGACTGTGTGTAATTTATATATTGGATCTAAAAATAAATCGATTGACTAATTAGCGACATATTTGCTATTTTATATTTTTATTTGTTGATGATTGCTGATAAGAAAATACAATAAATTGATAGGTTAAACTATACTAACGAACAAAAGAAACGTTATAGCATTTTTGTTTGTTTGTTTATTTGTTGTTTAACGCCACACTCAGCAATATTCTATCTATATGACGGCGGTCTGTAAATAATCGAGTCTGGACGAGACAATCCAGTGATTTGACATGTGGACTGCAAAAACAACAGTCGAGTTGAACAGTTCACAATGATGGTTACATAACTATCTTTCGGCACGTAACTGATCGTCATCTCCATAACCCTTATCACATCCAAGCATATCCATGTCGGGAGATAGCGAATTTAAAACATCTGTTGTCAGCAAATACCAGCTACATCACTGCACTGATCACCAGATCTGGTCAGGCAAACCTATGGTTGATAGCATAAGCACCGATCCACCAAAGGTGAATCTTACGAATGCATTATAAGCTAGATATTTCACTGCACATAACCAAATCGGGTCAGGTAAACTAATGGCTGATACCATAAAAAAGAAATGAGAGTAATATCAATGTACAAACAACATTCTGATTACCAAAAAACTGTGGTTGATAGCAGGAGCACCAATCCTTGTACCGGGTTAAATGACACAATATGCCAGATCTGATTGAAGTCACACCTTAAAGCTTGATTAACAGACACGTGAAACCGGGGAACTCATTCCTCGGGGCATTTAGTCTTAAACAAGTTAATATTTGCAAGACCACACCCTTCAACTAAAGAGTTGCCCATCACTTCTCAGAAAGAAAACTCCAAATGGACTAGAAAACTTTCCCTTACCCCTGTGCTTTAAACCCTATAGCGCCCCAGCCAGCAGTTGAATACTCCTCCACATCCTCCAAGGCAACCAACGCGTGAAGATTCCGGGGTAGAATAGGTCTTCAGCAACCCATACTTGCCGTAAAAGGCGACTATGCTTGTCGTAAAAGGCGACTAACGGGATCGGGTGGTCAGGCCACAAGCAAATCACCACCTTGGTGTATTTTGGAGTTTGTCTAAAAAAGATTACCCTTGTTCATTTTGACATATTTTGAGTTTTGAAAAGGTTTCCCTAACTATCACATAGTAACTTTCAAAGATTGAATATTTATACTGAAACAATTTGAACTTTGAAACATTTGCCCAGAGGCAGCCAACAAAACTTTCAGCATATGAACAATGAGCATCATCTTGACCAACTTCTCACATTTATTAGAATGAACAAGTCAGAAATCAAAATTATTACATCTTTAAGTTACATGCACAGACAGTGCTTGAATTGCAGGTACTAGCATCTATACCAAAATGCAGCATTGATATAATAAAGAAGTTAAAATCTATAAGTCAATTCATAGAAAAGTATTTCAAATCAACCAACCAAAACACTGAAACTGTAATTTAAAAAAAATAATATTGTCAAGTCTAATCCTTTAAACATTTTAATGAGTCATTTCACTCCGCAGTAATCTGTTACTGTTAATCAGTGTTGCAGTATACTGATCTGTCCGACAACATGATGTACAAAAGCAGGTGCCTCACACACAGCGCCACCTGTGTTCCTGATGTGATAACAGCCCATATGCAACAGGTGACAGCTTCCAGTTGTTGGAATCAGCCAATCAGACCCGGCCTCACAATGGAACAGCACACAATCAACCAATCAGAGGAGTGGATTTCTGCTGGTCGTGGGATATGCACCAGAATACAATGCTTCCTTTCATCACAGGTGGTATACCATACAAACTGTTCTGTTTCAACATATGTTCCTTAATCCCTTTACATTTTACCAGATGAACAATGACAATGTTTACCTAACAGAAAACAGCTTACAGCAATAAACCAACAGTAATTCTAAAACACGTGTGGATTAAGGTGACTTGCAGTTCTAAAAAAGATATTTCAGTTTAAAATGTGCTAAAGATAGGCAAGCTTTATGAGAATTGATTGAAAAAAACATCAATATTTAATATTTGTTGTTAGTGAATGAGTATGGTTTCAGCAATATTCCAGTAATATCATGGCGTTGGACATCAGAAATTGGCTTCAAACATAGTAAACATGTTACATGTATATCGTT